CGCACCCCTTCAACACCGAAGTGTGGTGCGCGGCCCGAGCGAGCGAGTAGGCCCCGCCTAATGACTCGCTCGTAACATGACTTCCATCCCTCTTCGTGCGCGCTTTATGACTCCCAATTTGGGTGTCGCTGCCATCCACTTGCGTTCTTAACAACATTATTTTTTCTCGCACACATGGTCGTCGGGTTGATTGCATGTGATGAGCATCCCGGGGTAATTGCGCCCGGGGCCAACCGGCCGTGTCAACAGGAAGCACGCTCGGCTGCCTCTGTCTTCCACGAACGCTTCGAAGCCTTGGACCACCAGCCCAGCCTGTTCGGTTTGCCACACTCAATTCCCTTTCCTCGCTCGACGATTTTCTATGCGTACACGCTTGACACTCTCACTTTCCGCTCGCCTTCGTACTCGGTAAAATGCTGTTTGACGCTGTTACAGAAACACTCAAGGACTACTATAGCGTGAGCTCTCTGAGGCTTTTGTGGCTTCAGGCACCTGGACTTCGCGTGCGTTCCACAAATGAATGAGGACGCAGGTGCCTCACGTGGTACGCATATTTTTCAACGCCCATGTGTGGGTCTGTAACCAACGACAATACGCGCCGGATGCAAACGAAACCTGAGTGCTTTTCAGCCTCCTTTTCGTTCCTTAGAAGAACAGATAGAGCGGGTAAGGAAGGCACGATGTCCTTGAAGACAGTAATAGGATCGCACAGAATGTTCTTGTTCCGAAAGAAAGCTTCACGATTAGCCCGGTTTATCGTCTGGTTTGTTCTTCAGGCGCTGGGCAATATGGTACGTGCAGTGAGATATAAGTTAGTAAGTTTGGAGATGCCCCGTCCAGACAAACCAAAACATGGTCGCCGATTTCTTGGGCAACTAAATAGCTCCGCTTACACATTGCGCAGTGTTCTCCGAAGGCGGAGCTCATCGGCCGTTCAGCTCATGACGTCACTTCGGAGAGCGTGCCCATTGGTACAGGCTTGTGTGCATTCGCCTTCAAGGAGAAAATGTCTCGTAATTCCAAAGATGCACCACTCACACACTTAGCAAAGTTATAGCACACATGCCCAAATAACGGGTACAGTCATGTACAGGTGCAACGGAAAGAAACACCAACACTGAGGCGCGCTCCGACCTTTGTGGCAATAAAACAGGTGCTAGATGGGTCTCGCTTATCACGAATGACTCTATATGACTTCTCGTTCGCATCCTGTCAACAATTACTCGAAACAAAACGCAAAACTGCAGAATTGGTTGGCGCCGCACTGTTCACGTTTCCTTCTATAAAATGATAGTGCACGCGAGCTCACATAGCGTTTCGTAGAGGTCTTTTGTACAAAGGACGTCAGGCCTCAAGCTGGAACAGTGTGCAAGCGAATATACAATGGCTAATCACTTTGCTTTTAGGTAAATGCCTTTATTTCTCTCTCGTCCTGTATACTGTTCTTTTTACCCGCCTCGCCACTCCATCACCTTCAAGTGAGCAAACGATTCTCCGGTGTGTTTGTTTATTTTTTTCTTGGCGCTTCCACGAGGACTATAATGTCGCAGAACAGCTTCGAGAACACTTTTCAAACTCATCGAAACCACGCGCGGCCCTCATTAGGTTAATTGGCCTCCCACACTTCCGAAAATCGAAGTTATTATTGCCGCGGGGAGAGGGGGGGGGATTTGGTCGTAATATAGCTGCGTATACGACTGGCGCTGACACGGAGCATGTCTGGACGCGCGCTGCAGTTGTGAATTACAATACGGCCCTTCGTCGACGCGGGGCGTTTGAAAATGGCGCAGCAACAACCCGTTCGCGGCCATTTAGTATCGGGGAGGCGGGCCCGGTTTTCAGCGCCGCCAGAAGCACGGCGTTCGGCGCGCATGGTCCGGAGGAACGCGCAGGCGACGACTCGGCGAGCGCTGAGTAAACACACACGGCCCCTCCCCTCGTTGCCCGGCTCGGTTCGCTGGCGATGCGCAGCGGTTGCGCCGCGCACGAAGATTGCAACAAGACGCTTGCCGCGGATGCAATTTCTCCGCGCTCCGTTGCAGAATCTGCACCGTCTTCTGTGAAGGGCCGACGATGCTGCGAGGATGCACCGGAAGAAGCAGCTGGGCCGCTTCGTTGCGCTCAGTAGAAGACGTTTATTCCGCTAGAAAAAAAAAATGAAAAAAAAAACTTGCGAAGAGAGCGGGCGTTAGACTTTTTGATGAAGGTACCGCTTGTCTTCGAAAGAAGCAATGTTGTCATAAACACGCGCATGTCCGTTCTTTGCAATCCCTTAATGAAAAGGAGATGAAATAGGATCGCACCACGTCGTTGCGCATCTGCAGAGAAGGCCGTTTGTCCGAGGCGTTTGTACGTGGTGCGCATGTACGGTAAACATTTTATGACTGATAATAGCCGCCACTGTGGTCTATAGTGTTTATGGTGCACGTCTGCGCCAGAGACCTGAAGATCGTGGATCCACTCCAAGGCACGGAGACTGCATTTTGGATGCAGGCAAGAATGATTTATGCCCGTGTACCTTAATTCAGGTGCACGTTAAAAGAACCACAGGTAGTCTAATTTTCCGGAGCCCTCCTCTACGGCGTCTTTCATCACATGGTGGTTTCGGAACGTTAAACCCCAACTGTTATAATAATAATAATAATAATAATAATAATAATAATAATAATAATAATAATAATAATAATAATAATAATAATAATAATAATAATAATAATAATAATAATAATAATAATAATAATAATAATAATAATAATAATAATAATAATAATACTTATTATTATTATTATTATTATTATTATTATTATTATTATTATTATTATTATTATTATTATTATTATTATTATTATTATTATTATTATTATTATTATTATATTACGTGTGACTGGAGACTTGTGGCTGGAGTCCGATTGCTTTGAGTGGTATAAGTGGAATGCGGATGAAAATTGGGACCGAATTTCGGGGACTCGTCGCTGTTTGTAGCACAGCGAGCACACATGCGCATTCCCGCAGACATTGGGTCATCGACCCCATTTTTTTGTGGCCCACATCCGTATACGATGACGATAGTTTCCCGACAGGGCACACACATTTCTGTGGTACGTTTGCTGGGCTAGCTGCAACCTTCTTTATTTTTAGAGGAGCAATGATGAGTAGTGATATTTAGCCAATTTCTGTGGCACATTACTGTTTGTCACGACGATAGCCTACTCGTTCTTTGGACAAGGAAATATTTACTAATCAGCCTCGCTGTTAAAAGCGGCTGTTTACTACTAAGCAGTACGAGAATTTATTAATGCGTCAAGCATTTTACGTCTGAAAGCGTACAGGCTTATCTATCTCAGCCGCTCTTTTAACCTCATTAAAAGTGTGGGAAATGAACAAAAAAAAAACGAAGTCTAGAAAGCCGTGGTCCAGATCAGCAGATGGTGCCTGTCTCTGAGGTCAAGCCGCTATCAGAAACTGCCGTTTCTAGGAAAGACAAGAGGGCGCGGGTTCTGTGGCCGCACCAAGATAAACAGAAAGCCAGCCAGTGAGCTAGCTAGGCGCAGAATCACACACGGAGACCACATTTTTCATTGAGTGGTTCCTTGCTGACGCTGCCCCAGAAATTCCATTACCTGATTCAGGGAGGGTTCAGTTTGTGCAAATACTATAGTTGCTTCTCAGTAGTAACGCTATTCTGATAATTCATCCTTTCTCGAGGCACCTTCTTGAAACACACCTCTGTGGTGTACGTGAACTCTGTTATGGATGTGACACCACTGTTTGCCGTAAGCTCGCCACGTTCGCAAACAATTAATACCAATCACTCAAGACTTGTTTGTACAAACACCTTTAAGACGTGCACATGCTAGGTTGTATGTCTGCGAAGACGGTTATTGTTGAAGTGCGGTTGTGACGCTGTTGAACGTTACGCAGATTCCACAGTAGCACTAGAGATAAGCGAATCGAAGTAAATGTGCAGCTTATATTCTTCGGCATGCGTCATTATGACGGCCATGATGTCGTCTATTCGTAATAGCTAAAGTATACCTGAGAGAAAGAAAGGCTAACACATCTCTCTCTATCTCATCGGTTGTAGTGGTAGCGTACAATACCATAATGCAGCTCCAATATGCCCGTTCTGCTATGTTCACTCAAATTTTTAGAAGCAGATGCCAAACTCAAACATGGTTGGTATAATAAAACAGTTCTTTTCTAATGCGTGCGTTGTGTCAGTTAAGCGCGAACGTTTTCATAAGGCCACGAACGTAGGTGATAAAAAAAGTGAAGCGGGAAAAGGGCACCGTTACATTACACCGAGCAAGGTGTTCACATAGCAATTCACATCCATACAACACAAAACAATCCAGGGTACGTAGACGCAACACATTTGATTACCTCGATGGGATGGTGTGTCATGTTCGTCGAATCGTTTCTTGTAGCCACAATCTCGTTTTTGTTAAGCGTGACATTTACTGCAAGTGTGTTCTAAAGCACCGGAATAGCTAGAGCTTTGCATATGTGCCCCGCTGTTCAAAAGACGCACCGGCAATGTCAAAGCGCTAACAGGGACCCGTTACGCCCGCAGTGCACAAACAAGAATTATGTAGACGTCTCTGCTGAACCCTGCTTTGATATCTAAAAAATACGTGCAGTCGCCTTCAAAAATAAAATATTACCACTTCAATCCTGTTTCCCAGATCTGTGAGATTTCTTTACGTGAAGATGGAAGCGACTCAAGGAGGAACGGATGAAACTCCACGTTATTGTGAATGACACATGGCAACACTAACTCACAGTCACTTTTGCCAAACGCCGTTTAAATCAGGCGATTCCAACTGTACCCTAGATAAAGCAAACAACCCTCGCAGAAACTGCCATCCAGATCACCCGAGTTTCAAGAGCACCACGGAAATTACAGCGCGCACATACAAACGATGTAAACGTGCAGAAGACGCGAAGTTTATACAACTCGCGTACTTTCGACATAGCCAACAAAGAAGGATGGCACTCACCCTGTCTTCGCGAAGTTAGCCCAGTAGCGCATCATGCGTCGGCTGAGCGCCTGCTCGTCCGGCCGGTAGCCGAGCGACTTGTTGAGCGGCTCGCCGAACAGGAAGGCGATCTCCTCGCCGTGAATGACGCCCATCCACTGCGGCCAGGCGCTCACCGACGACCTGTGCGTGAAGTAGTACGCGTACACCTGCGACCCCGAGAGCGCGTACTGGTGCGCCCACTCCACCACCGAGCACGTGAAGTGGTAGTCGCCCACTATCTTGTCCACGGCGTCCCGGTTCTTGATCGGGTCCTCCGGGTTCAGCCAGTCCGTGTACTGGAACATAATAGCCTGCTGCGCAAGCTCGCCCACCAACGGGTTCAGCTCGCGCACAGCGCGCACAAAGTCCTCGCGGCCCAGGTAGACCGACTCGTCGCGTCGGAACAGCTCGGTCAGGTAGTAGATGAGGAAGTAGGTGCCCTCGTCGCGGTTTGAGCCCAGCAGCAGGTTGGTCTTCTTGAAGTTTCGCGCCGCCAGCGACTCCTGTGGTGACTCGTCCAGAAAGGCGCCGTCCACGACCGGCACGAAGGGGAACTCGACCACGCCGAAGTTGCCCGTCTCGCTGTTCACGATCATCTCGGGGTCCTGCTCGCGCAGGCAAGCCAGCATAGCCTCCAGCTGCCGCTCGTCGTGCGGGCAGTGCAGCGTCTCGGCCAGCCGGAGAGCCGACTGCAGCGCCGTGTGCCGATCGTGCACGCCCCATGGGGCGATGGCCGTGCCACTTTGGAGGATCGCCTGCGCGTTCCGAGGAGGCGAAGCTCAGAAGGTCATACCTTACTACATACCTTACTAAAACTGCGCACGTCTTGCACTCTCCGCATGCCACTGAGTAGTAGGCGAACCAACAGTCTTTTTTTTTGTTGTCCAGCAAAGGCGTAACTCATGGACGACCATAGCGGGTACACACATGTAACCCTCCTATAATGTGCGTAATCACACCTAGCTGCCCCGCCGCGGTGGTCTAGTGGATAAGGTACTCGGCTGCTGACCCGCAGGTCGCGGGTTCGATTCCCGGCTGCGGCGGCTGCATTTCCGATGGAGGCGGAAATGTTGTAGGCCCGTGTACTCAGATTTAGGTGCACGTTAAAGAACCCCAGGTGGTCAAAATTTCCGGAGCCCTCCACTACGGCGTCTCTCATAATCAAATGGTGGTTTTGGGACGTTAAACCCCACAAATCAATCACACCTAGCTACGAAGGAATGTACCAGCTACATAATGCACATAAAGAGTAATGAATTTTAAAGATCATTGCAGGGCATACAGAGCACAAGTAACCACCTCTTGCCCTGTTTAAAAAACAGCCATAATTACGTGACACAATATATTGAAGGATCCAAACGCAGATCTTTTCGTGTGGGTTCACTTAATTTAAAAAGAAGATTGAGAATCCGGGCCTGTTATTCAAAACAGTGATTGTTGTCAGATACAACCATAGGAGTTGTATAACAATTACGTAGACATTTTTCAAAGCACAATATCCCACTACTGCAGTAATATTTACATTCCAGATCAGAAAACCAGTGTGTTCTGACTTTCAGAATACACTGGTGTTCGCACTGGTGCTCCGAAGATTCTGATGTTGCTATGAGGTGGAGGTTTCTGATGTACACACTGGTGCTACGCATCAAAGCACCAGAACTTTTTTGTGCCATCTTCATAACATCACAACGCAAACAAGACAATTAGTCGAGAACTGTTTTGGAAGCAGCGTAAAAGTGGTCATAAATGAATTCTTACCTGCGAGAAGAGGTCCCTGGAGAGTGGTGAGAGCAGGTGCATGCTGGCGCTGACCGCGCCGGCGCTCTCGCCGAACAGGGTGACGTTGCGCGGGTTGCCGCCGAACGCGGCGATGTTTTCCTGCACCCACTGCAGCGCCATGAGCTGATCGAAGAGGCCCGCGTTGCCAGGCACCTCCGGGTGGTCGAGGCAGAGGAAGCCCAGCGAAGCGACGCGGTAGTTCATGGACACCAGCACCACGCGCTCTTCGGCCACCAGCGTGCGACCATCGTACACGTCTAGCGTCGACGTGCCGCTGTAGAATCCACCGCCGTAGATCCACACCAGCACGGCGGCCGGGTGGCTGGCGTTGGGCCGAGGCCGGGGGACCCACACGTTCAGCGTCAGGCAGTCTTCACTCATGTTGGTGTTGGCGTTCCACATAAGGCTGCCACGGAAGTCACCGAAGAAGGTGTCCACCGTCTGGAAGCACGACTTGGGCTTGACGGTGGCGTCCAGGACGCCTTTCCACGGGTCGTTTGGTTTTGGGTGCCGGAACCGGTAGCGGCCCACGGGCGGCTTTGCGTACGGAATGCCGTAGAAGACGTCGACCGGCTTGCCCGTGGGTGACTCGGCGGCCAGTCCGCGGACGGGGCCCTTGGCCGTGTGCACCAGCAGCGGGTCGGGCCGGTGGTGCTGTTGCTGTTGGTGCTGGTGGCCCTTGCGCGCCGCGACCGGCCGCACGGGCACCCCGGCCACGAGCAGCAGCAGCATCGCCAGTGACGTCGGGGCACACACCATGGCGCCTGCTGCCAGCCTGCGAGCACGTTGCGCGTACGTGAGCATACACATTGGGACACTCTGTACGACAAGGTCGAAGTAACTGCTGTTCGGACTTTAATAAAGCTTTCACACGAGCTGCGCACTCACTACGAAAGCATTTTACCATGTTATCTGTGCACATGTGGGAGTGTGAGCTGTTATGTGTATCAGTGTATATGTAACAGACGTCCCCCAGCGCCTGGAGTAGCACGTTGGAAAATAGCCAGGCTAACATCTCTGGCATTTCATTGACGCACCTCGATCGCAATCTCTCTTTCTCATAGAGAGAAGTGTTCGATTCACCAAAGATGAAATTAGAACAAGGATACGAAAACGATCGGCGTTTTTTTCAAGGACAGGGGATCTCACGCTTATTTACATGGTGCATTTTACTTCGCCCAAAAGGTGCTGTAAATGCTCGTAGGACACATCGACGATATCTCCCCCGAATACAAGACACGGAAAAGCACGTTTTACATAAAAATAAATATTAAGGAAAGACAACACAGTATAATATTTTAGTATCAGCCCATAAATGTAACATTCATTATCTAAGTCCTGCTCTTCGCAGCAATACAAAATTATGAAAAAAATAAAACAAAACGTGCTGGTGGAGAGGTGACGGGAAACGAATTGAGGTGTATTTTATTTCTGAGCAGTAATTATAACTCGTGTTTCGTCGCGAGGGACACCGACAGTAGCAAATAAAGGAGTGAACGTAGAGCACCGTACCTTACCGTTTAAGCGAACCTCTCGTCACGAATGAGTCCATCGCGTAACCACGCTCACCGCGCCACAACGAAGCACCATCGCTGACCACCGGTGCACTAGCCACACACACACGCACCCTGGACGTTCCGGCAGCCCTCCCTAGCTCACACTCGCTTCAGAGCGGCCTCGGTCTCGTTCGAGACGTCGTACATTTGTCAGCCACGCGATTTTTCGCCGCCGGCGAAAGTGAATGCTCGGGGATCGCCCGCTGACACGACGGCGCGCCGTGGGGCTGGCCCAAACAACGAACGCGACGACGCTCGACACGCCCTCGCCCTCTTGTCCCCAAGCGTCGCCACGCATCTCTGGAAGCCGCCGTAGGCGAGGCGGCCACTTATGAGTTTGAATTGGACACTTCCGCGTCATCGAAGCCACACGTGCAGCAGCGGGAGATCAGACGCATGGCGTGCGACGAGAACATTAGAAGAAACAGTGCCGCTACACTCGCGTACGGACCTTATTATTTTGGGTGACGATGTGTACGCCTCCCACTCCCCAATGACATACTAAGGGACAATACGTACGTAAGGGCTTAGTGTCCGGGAATTTATATTTATTCATCTTTTATAGTTAAACCCTGTACTGCTACGTCATTCATTGTTAGTCAAAAATGAGGATACAAATTCACAAAATTCTGTTTCGTAAGAATGTTTTCTCATTGGTCATCTCGCTTCTCAAGTAGTACGTACCACATCGTTATTCGTTGCACAATTCTTTTGACCCATTTCTCGCATGAGACGTTTGTGCCCAGATAATTATTACGAATGATACTCGACAGTTCTGAAAAAAAGAGAGAAAGAGAGAACACAAGGCGAAAGGCAAAGAGGTTAACCAGGGCTGAGCCCCAGTAGGCTACTCTGCACTGGGGAAGGGCAGAGGGGAAGGAAAGTTATAGAGGAGGAGATAAAAGGTCCCTGACTGGGCCGACGCGTAACAGTTTCACCATCACGATGAAACAGGCCGGTGTTTTTGAGAAAATGCAACAGTGTTTTTGTTGCCTTTCGCATATTGGAATGGCAGTGCCATGGTCCCAATACTTTCTCGACAGTGAAATCACTTCTGTCCAGTTGATTTAAAACACTGCGCAGTTTGAGCCTCTCGTTTGTGTATGCCGGGCAGTAACATAAGATGTGTTCAATAGTCTCATCGACGGCGCAGTCGTTGCATTCCGCACTGTCGGCCATCCTTATCTTATATGAGTAGGCATTGGTGAAAGCGACGCCCAGACGCAGATGGCACAACACTGTACCTTCCTTCCTAGAAAGACCAGATGGTAGCCGCAGTCGTAGAGATGGATCAAGAGAATATAGTCGATGATGTACGAACTGTGATAATTGCCACTTTTGGAGTGTCATGTCCTGCGCCAGCTTACTGAGGTATCTAGCCGAGTCAATCCTAGATAAAGGCACGGACACAGGGTTAGCTTGTACGTGTGTACACAGGGTTCGCTGCTTCATCGGTGAGGTCATTGCCGAATATACCGCAATGACTTGGTATCCACTGGAACACAACGTTGTGTCCTTGTTCGGTCGCATAATGCAGCATTTATCTGATCTCCCATACCAGGACCCGCGACGAAGTGCCGACGAAAGACAATGTAGAGCCGCCTTGGAGTCACAGAATACTGCCCGTCGATTAGCCGGTTGTTGCTTGATATATTCGATGGCACCTCGCAGGGCAACAGTTTCTGAACCAGTCGATGTGCTCGCGTGACAAAGTTTGTAGGTGATGTTGATGTGCCACGATGTAATGACGATGGCGCCGGTGGAGCTAGTCTGGGTGGTAGATCCATCCATGTATACGTGTATTCTGTTAGCGTAGAAAGTGTGTAAACAGTCCAGAGTCACTTGCTTCAAGGCCAAGGCAGAAAGGACTTTTCTATTTCTTATTCCTGGGACGGAAAGGCGCACGTCGGGTTGTCGTAGGCTCCACAAGGCGGACGGTGAACGAGCCAAGGGTATAAAACCGGATGGTAGCAAAGCGCGGTAGGAGATGACGACCTTAGAGAACGACGCCTGCGGCCATTGTTCTGGCAGAAATGTAAAGTGGCTCAACACCATACGTTAAATGTGCGGAATATGTGCTCTCAGCACGTCGGTTGTGACGTAAGTCGTAACCGGATGATCCCGAGCCAGTATCACTGTTCCAGCGGTTGAGATAGTTCGCGGTAGGCCGAGACAAACACGTAGTGCCTGTGCTTGCACGCTCTGAAGTGTTTGAATGTTTGTCTGGCCAGTTTTAGCAAGCAGAGGAGAACTGTAGCGCAATACACCAATAAAAAGTGCTTGGTAAAGCTCTAGCATGGAACTCAATTACGAACCCCATCTTTTTCCAGCGATGACTTTCAGGACGTGTACAAGAGATACCAGTTTCGCTTTCAAGCTAGTCACATGAGGGCTCCAGGAGAGGTCGCGGTCAACAATGACACCTAGAAAACAATGGCTACGCTTGTAAGAGATGGGCTGGCCATTAATGGTTATCGGGTAACTTGTCATCGCCTTGCGCGTGAAGGCCACCAGTGCACTTTTTTCTGTTGAGACTGTTAGGCCTAGCGTGCGAAGATAGATGCTTGCGACGCTGCCCTCTGTATCCTTGCTCGAACTTGTAGGCGTGTCAATGCAGATGCCCAGACACAGATGTCATCAGCGTATATTGAAACACTGACTGTTTAAGGAAGAGCTTCCGCGAGGTCAAGCAAGGAGAGATTGAAAAGAACTGGGCTTAAAACACCATCTTGCGGGACGCCACGGCACGTGTACTGGTCTGAGGTCGGGCCATCTTCAGTATATACAAAAATGATCTTCTTGTCAGGTAGCTTCGGATCCATCAATACACATGCCCTCCCAGTTCAATTAACAGTAGTGTGTCTAGTATAGCTTGATGGGAAATGTTGTCATATGCACCTTTCACATCAAGAAAGAGCGCAAGTGCTAGTCGTTTCCTAATTTCTGCTGTTCTACTGATGACACCAAATAGATGACGTTGTAAATTGATGAACGGCCTCGTCGAAATCCCGCCATGGAGTCGGGGTAAATGTTGTGCCATTCAAGGAACCATTCCAGGCGCGTGAGAATCATGCGCTCTATGAGTTTCGCAACGCAGCTGGCGAGAGCTACAGGCCGGTATGATGTGAGCAATAGAGGGGACCTCCCTGCTTTTAGAAGTGGCACAAGACAGCTCTGTTTCCATTCTTGAGGTACGATGCCATCTTCCCACGACCGATTAAATAAATTTAGCAGTTGTCGTCTAGCTGCTTGGCCTAAGTGACGCAAAGCCGTATATGTTATCCCATCGGCCCCTGGTGAAGAAGAACGCCAACACAATGTTAGTGCAGCTTCTAGCTCTTCCATAGAAAATGGAGAATCCATACTTATATCTCGTGGACCCGGGATATCGCTTAAAAGCACATCGGATAATCGGACCGTCCCGCCGGTGATTTTCGCACGAAAATCCTCTGCAACGTTGATTTCGCGGCGGTTGAGACGAAGTACGAGGGCCTTAAAGGGGTGACGTTGCATGGCGCCTGAGCGATGACCCTGTACAGCTCTCCATACATGAGACAATGACTTACGTAGGTCTAATGACTCACAGAAGCTTTTCCATCTTTGATTCTGCAGCTGGTCTATTCGGCGCTGTATTTTTTTCTGCATACGCCTTGCTACTCTGAGGTCAAAAATCGACTTGGTACGCCTGTATCTTTTTTCAGCACGTATACGTGACGCCCGAAGCCTTTCTAATTCGATGTCAAGCTCCGTGAGCTTCTGTGAGCGTGCGAAGCGAGTACGTGTGCATTACTCTGAAGAAGAAGTGGTTGTCTTTTACACTAATTGGCGTATATATACCCCCCGCAAGTTTATTTGATTGTAAGAGACTAACAGACATTATTGCAGCTACTCCAGGTACTTGCATTATAACAGGTGATTTCAATGCACATCTTTCGATATGGGGAAGCTCGAGGACACACTCGAAGGGGCGCTCACAGATATCGTTTGTGTCAGACCACAACCTGCGGCTTCTGAGTGATGGTGGCCCGACATACCTGCGAGGAACGACGTACAGCAGCTGCCCCGACCTGACACTGGTGTCGTGTGGCCTAAGTTCAAAAGTGCGGTGGTTCACAGAGATCGAAACCCACGGTAGCGACCACATTCCGACTTATCTCAGCATTGATGGCCAAGAGACTGCGTCCTCGCCGTTCCATCGGTATATAGACTGGAAACTTTA